GGCTGTTTTTTGGAGGGTATGGTATTGAGGGACTAATAGGAGAGCTGTTGTCAGGGAGACCTGAGAGCACTGAAGGCCGTTTGGGGGTACTGGGGGTATTTGGAGGGCGTTGGAGAGGGAGTCATGGGGCCATTGCGGGGCAATTGGGGGAGGGGGTTGCTGTTCATCAGGGAAGGCCTGGGGACAGCTGAAGGTGTTGGAGAGGGAGTCATGGGGCCATTGTGGGGCAATTGGGGGAGGGGGGTGCTGTTCATCAGGGAAGGCCTGGGGACAGCTGAAGGGCTGTTTGTGAGTGAGGCTGTTAGCAAGGGGAGAGGCCTGGGGCATTTGGGGGATGCCAGGGTGTTTGGAAGGGTCTGGGGACATTTGGGAAAGGTCTTCTGGTATCTTGAAGGAGGGAGATGGGTTTTGGGGGACAATCTGGGTGAGATCAGGGATGAGACAGGGAATAGGGGGCAGGAAACAGTCACCTGGGATTGCTGAGGCAGATGGGGCAAAGCAGGCAGGCATCGGGGAACCTCTGAGGCGTAGGGTGAGAGGAGAGCAGGGCCGGAGAAGCTCATGGAGGGCAGAGGTGTGAATAACTGTGACAGGACTCTGTGTTCCTGCCCTGGGAGGTGAGGCCAACCACCGTGGCCCTTGTCTGTGGGCGTTGGGCACAAATAAGCCCTTGTTACGAATCTCAGTTTACTCCTGGCTCACCTATGACACAGGCCATTCCTGTCGCCCTTCCTGTGCTCTCAGCCCTTGTAAGAGCAGCGTGACTGTACAGGGAGGAAATGTTCGCGGTTTGACGTACGTGTGTGCGTGTGGTGGGAGCAGAGGTCAGCAGGTGATCTGGGATTTCGGGAAACGGTGTGCGGGACAAGGACTGTGTCTTACTGAATGCTTCTGTTGTTGCAGGAGTGCCGGATTGCACATCCCATTGTTAAATGCACTTACTGCAGGACTGAATTCCAGCAGGAAAGGTAAATGCCCGCTGAGCTGGGAGACTGATGTTTTCTTTAGAACAGACGCACCCAGGGAACTGTAAAGTTTCCACGCCTTTGATGACTGAGCCTTAACCTGTAGATTGTTGCTGTGGAAAACTTGGGGGACCTTTGGCCTTCAAAGATCTGCAGGGCGAGTCAGTGTGCCTCTGTGGTGTCCTTAGATTTGCACTGTTTGCTTGGCTTTTATTTTTGGTCAGTGCTCTGGTGCACCTTTCAGTGAAGGATCTGGGTGCATCTTCCCACGAGTTTTCCTCTTACCTGTTTTCTGGTATCCAAAAATAATTTCCTAATGTGTTTTCTTTAGCTGTGCTTTTGCATTTTTTTGCAAGTTATGTAGCTTACAGAGGAAGGATTGGTCAACCCAGTAGCAGGCATCGCGTGGGGTGTTCTTTGCTGCGTTTGTTGGACAAATACACCTCTGACCTGCCTTAACCTTGCCATCCAGAGCAGACCTCCTCCAGAACAGAGGCTGTCACCAGTGCTGAATCACACCTGCTGCCAATTAGCTGGTGATCAGACTCCTGTATTTGTAAGGACAAATCCTTACATCATCTGGGGATGCCTTAATGTAAAGATACCTCCTAGTAATACCAATTTTGGGCAAATTATCCTCAAGTAGATGGAGATAGGAAATGCACTTTGATATCAGAGTCCCTAGTGATGATGAATACAGTCTTGCCTCTAGAGACAGAGCCTAGGGGAGACTGACATCCTAACCACAGGGGTTTAATTTGCTTTGGGGAAGTGTTAATAGAATGATCTGTCCTTCTTTTTAACAGCAAAACCAACACAATATGCAAAAAGTGTGCTCAGAACGTGAAGCTCTATGGAACAGTAAGTGAGCAGGGCTCGTTCTCACCAGCCTCTTCCTTTCATCTTTCTTGTTCTTATCCTGCTGGATCCCTATGCAGTTTATGGGCTGGCTCTGTTGTAATAGCATGACTGATCAATAATACGCGGGTCCCTCAAGCGTGAAGCTTTTACCTTTTCTTTAAGTACAGAAAAGAGCAGCTCTGCATCATTTTGGGCCAGGAAATGAACTATTCGATATCCAATAGAAACAAGAGCATGCTTACACAAACTGAGATTGCTGCGGGAAGCAGTGATAAATCTTTCTTTCCTGCTTGTCCGAAATCTGAAAAAGAGATTTTGATTGTTTCTATTTTGGTGTTATACATTTTCTAAAGATTTCATAGCACTTGATAAATGGTCTGGGTGCCATGGCTAAATACACTTAACTAGAGACAAGGGGTCCAAATGTATTTATGTCTCCTGGGTCAGCGTTCTAGTTAGCTTGGAACGGGGAAATAAAAGTTTTAAAGTGATGGGGAGAAGGGGAAAGAGCAATGCATTAATGTAATTAGAAGGCACTGCTGTATCAGTTATTCTTGTTTCTTAAAGCCAAAACCCTGCCAGTACTGCAACATTATAGCAGCATTTATTGGAAACAAGTGCCAGCGTTGCACAAACTCTGAAAAGAAGTATGGACC